AAGCTGGTTGTATAGGTCTATAAACCGTGTAAGAGCAGTCAACCATTGAGCCATGGACACATTTTCCTTGCGCGTGCGCAATTGGAATGACAGAGGGGGGATAGGGATGAGACCACGCTTGGGGATAACTAACTCCCAATGGTTGCCCCGTGTGAAGGCTATTAGTATGGGCCCCATTGGTTTAGGGTCTGGGTCTTTCGAGCTTGGTAAGTTAGTGATACACCCAATGTTTACGTCGGCCGAGAGGAAGACGATGGGCCTGTTGTATGCGTTTGCCAGGACGGGTCCCATGTCCAGGCGTTCCATCCACTTGGAATATGGGACTGATGTCGAGTTGGGATCGACGACAAGGGATTCACGGGCCCTCTTGTATTCGTTCTCGCTCCCGAACCTCCTTGTCCAATGCGCTTTGTTGTTGTCGAGCTCGTTGAGTAGATCCTGGCGGACCTGAGACCACCCGTTGGTCTTTGCGTACAAGCTCTCGGGCTTCTCAAGTGCCATATGGCGCGCCACGCAAGAGTAACCACAGTTTCCATCGCCCGGTGGATCATATGTCGATTGGACATGTTTTTGCACCCAGGCAGGGAGCTCATTATGGGACGCCTCCTTCAATTGACGTAGAATAATTGGATGGTCAGTAAGTGCTGCACTCAGAAGAGGGGGGAGTGGAACCAGGCAATCTGCCTTACCATTGCTTTTGGTGCAGTCACCAGGGGTGCTTCATGGGGTGGCCCATGGTCGGTCACAATTCCTTGGGCTGCCTGTGGGGTCAATAAGCATCTGATCAGTCAGTGTCATAGGGGCGCTTCCCGTCTGGTAGCTTACCTGGGGTCCAACATCGTCGGGGTCTTTAGGAGCCCCATGGGATATTTCTGCAATGTCATACCCTTGGGAATTGTTGACCTATGATGAGGGGGGCAGAGGGGTGCGTTAGCCCATGTCGTTCTGCATAAATACTTTGCTAAGAACCACTTGCCTTGCGCACAATCCCAGGGTGAGTTATAGTGCCTGTCTCCCCATTGGCGGCAGTGCCACTTTCACCACCATTCTCTGGTGTCACCTCGGTAGGTGGTGGCAACCATATCCTCTTGGGCCTGATGCGTTTGGGTTTGGTGGGGATTGCCTTACATGCCTACAAAATTACACAATCTCAGCTTGCTGTGGGTGGGGAATTCATATCAACAGTGACTCACATTGGTTGTCTCCACCCCCAAGCATGTACCTTCTTCAGGCCACGTGCGGAACTGCGGTCCATGCCCCCGGGTGATTGGGGCGGGCGGTCTGCGAACTTGTCCCACGGGGGCTCCGGGCGGGGCCATCACGGTGTCATGACCGGGGCCCACCTCAGGGGACGACTGGATATGGCATTGTGAAGATGTCAACGACTTCTTCTTGTTTTGCACCGAAGCTTTTGCAAGGCCACTTACAGGTGACGGTATTGGATGTTCTTCGGGGTTCGGCAGTGAGTCAGCTACCGTATTGAACCGCTTTGGGGCATTCACATGCTCTGATTTTGCAAGCTAGACACATTGAGACACATGAGCCTCAATGTTGGTGATATGTTTTCCATGTGAGTGGAAATGGAATTGCTTACCTCAGCAAACACCTCTTCCAGACCTGATGGCAATTCAGCATCCTCAGGGCCATCGGGAACTCCCCCTGCGGGAGGTGGATCTGTTGGTGTGCCTGCTCTTGAGCACCCATGCACATCTCGCGGACCCGCTGCGGTCAGAGGCCTGGAGGTGCATTCCCCCTCTGACCCACCTGAGCTTTCTTTAACCGAATTCTCAGAATCATCTGCAGAGCTGGATGAGTCCCCTGAATCGCTAGACTCCGCCAAGTTGACCTTCTTTCTTGCTTGGGTAGATCGTAAAGGGAGCTTCCTCTTCTTTGTGACCTGATCAGGTTCATCACCTATTTCATCGCAGGATGTCGCCTCTGATGACGAATTGTTTGACTTTGTCGTAGCCTTCGGCTTGGCCTTAACTTTCACCTGCTTAGCCCTAGCTGCCTTTTTCTTTGCCTGCGCCTCGTTAACTTGGGCCTCCACCACCTCGGAATGGATTGCGTCCCGTTCGGCTGCTCGCACGTATCCTCGTTTCCGCTTCTTCTTGGCTCCCTTGCGGGTGTTTCGTATGGTGGGTGCCTCACCCAGGGGCACAACAACTGTGTTAGTCCGCACTTGGCGCAGCTTGGCCATAAGACCAGGGAGATCTTGAGGCCTCACGTCGGCCAGAATCTCCTCTTTCATGGCTGCATAGTCCTCGTCAAAGTCATAAGGAGGCTCCGCATTCTGGGCCAGGCAGGGAGAATCATCAGAACCCAAGACGACAGCAATCAGGCGTTAGCAAATGATCACTCACCGGATCATCAGGGGTATAATATAATTTCCACTGATCATGAATATTTGTTGTTTCAACAACACCACTTTCGTCTAAAATATCGGCCAACATGTGCCAGCAAGGGATACCCATCGTGGCCCACAAGCTACCAGTGCACTCGTCATCATCCAACCCCTTGGCCGCTGAGTCGCGATTCTTCAAGTACAGCTTCCGCTGCTGCTCAAGCATGACAATTGCATGAATTGAGACCTTAGTGTTAAGTGGACGGAAGGTTTCCGGCAGACCGGAATTCCCCTTCTGCTTCTCTTTTGATATCTGTTTCACAATACTTGTGACCTGGTAGTCCACTGTATCAGCAATTTTCTCAAACGCAGTCGCCATGTCCTTCTTGTGTGAGGTCACGTGTTTCTTCAGCCAATTGTGAGCAGACTCCCCTCGAGCGGTCGTGTGATTGCCTAAATGCGGGGTCTGCCCTATCCAAGGTCTCATGAACAACCCCCGATCAGGAATGATGTTCTTGATCAGGTAATCCAGGACCAAGGCGCGATCAGCTAGATACATTTGAAGCTTGCCCCAGGCGTCGTCATAAGCGTCCTCATCCTTTGAATACATCACTGCGTTCCACTTCTTCTTGAACACCTCATATTCCGCAGGATCGGTCGCAAACGCCGGGTAACAAGCCGCACGGATGTTTTGATCTATGTGCCACAAGCATACATTGTTCACGGCCTCTGGGAAGTGCACCGCAATCGAGTTTCGCAAGGCCTTCTCGCGATCAGTCACAATCACCTTGGGTGATCTGTCGGGTGCCCACACATCCCTGTGAATTCCCAGAATTGAGCGACCATCAATCGGTCTGTCTGATCTCAGAACTGGAGCCAATGAGAAAACTATTCTACTCACTTCAACTTCTTCATCACCCATGAATATGCGACCTCAGACTCGTGCCTCATGAAGCAAAATCCAATGGAGAAAGTACTGTTTGTCGCAGACTGCCCTACCACGTGCAAGAGAGGGTAGTTGTTGACGTTTGTTTGTAAGTACAATCCATCAAGACCAAATGATGGAAAGTTCGCGCAAGTTACAGAGATCCAGGATGAGCAAACCACACGTATAGAGGTTGGCCATTCTCATCATAAGCCTCGTCGTGTATCCAGTTGGATTCGCTGAGGCACCGAAGGAGATACCGCATTGGGGTCTCGCCTTTCCGCTTCCCACGTTTTTCTGCAGCAGTCGCATTGTAAACCGTCCTACACGTGACATGGCGACCAGCCCTTTGGGAGAGCATCATTGCCACTGCTCTTGGCTGCATCCCCAAGGATGCCATACGTAACGCCTCTGTCTCAAGCGCCGGATCAACCCGTTGATTGAGAACCTCGTATTGAGTCTCCATTGGGCCGTGATTATGAGACAAGCCTTCCACCATCCGAATTTCCCAAGGTTCATTCGTGCGGTCTTTGCTCATTGGTTTGTGCGCAGAGATCCTGAACCTACATCCAATACGTTTGTTCCGAGACAACCGCTGTCGATCGGTATCGGGCTTGTTCCTATCCTCTCCTGCCAACGAGCATTTCAAGTAACCATTCTTCCCAGTCTTTGAGCTGCCTGTTACAAGTTTATACTCATGTGCCCGTGCCCACCTCTCGGCAAACCTCTTCAGGTCCTTGTACTCGTGGAATCTGTATAGAAGGGGGGGATCCATTGGATCTTCAAGGCACAGAGGTAAAAATCAGCCCATTGACAGATTATTAGTTAAGTAACCTCTCCCACTTACTCCCCACACTAAAGTCAAAATTGTCCATATCAAGTGAAGTCAAGACTCGACCACTGGGTGGGGCCCCTTCAACTGTTGAGACCTCTGTATTATTGAGTTGCATCCCCGATAGTGGGGCCTCCAGAGCCTCATCTGTTTCAGGGCTGCCCCCTGAGGAAAACAAGCCACATGAGATTAGTCAATACCATCTTGCACATAATACCAGCTCAGAAGTCCTTGAAAAAACAACCCACCTTCCACATATACCAAACCATCTCCCATCTCCAGATCCAGCCCCAGAGAAGTCGGTTGTTCAACAGCAATAATGGGCCCTCCAGCCACATTACTATCAACTGGGCAAGTTTCCAAGGGGGCCAAACGCCACACATCAGCGCCTTCCGGAGCCAAGGCATCGATTTCAGCTGGACCATGCGGTAAGAAAGATGACTTCAGCTCGTGGAAATTGGCGCTTTCGGTCCCCAAGTCCCAACCCAAATCTGCACAGCTTGCCCCGGGCTCATCGAACTGAGATCCCTCTTTGGGCATGGACTCATGAGTGTCAATTTTGATTTGACCGTCATGTACCTCAAGCCTGCCAAGATTGGACCCATCGCCAACCGTATGACCACCTCGGTGCTGGCCGGCCTGGACAGATGCCCTCGCGTCAACCCCGCTAGTAAATGGCCGTTGGGGGGGTGGGTGTGTTGCTCGGCTGATCAGATGTTGCAGCTCGATTGGGGCGGGATGCATAATTGACTGGTGGTTGAGGTACATTTGTCTGGATTGGCCAATACGTTGGCTCGGAGTGACCAGGAAAGAACATATGTTGAGAAGGGGGCGGGGCGTATATAGGCATTGACGGATGGTGATAGTATGGGGGTCCAGGTTGGCTCATGGGGGGGAAGTGTGATTGCGGAGCGCTGATTAGGGGTATTGAGGTTGGCCAGTGTATACCAGGGCAGAGTGTTGGTAGGATGTTGGCGCCATGTAGCTCATCGGTGCGGAGTAACTCATATATTGTGGGGGGCCAGTGTAGGTGATTGGATGATGGCCCGAGTGGGCAAACATTGGCTGCCAGGATTGGTTTCCAGACATTCCGCCAGGGTGTGATTGGAACACTGGGGTGTCTGCTTGCCCTTCATGTGCTTGAGCCCAGAGGGGTCTCTTTGGCTCGAGATGTGGTGACCTGGGGTGCCCCCAACAGCGTGCGGGAGGGAGGGAATGTGTGTCGGGGGGGCGGAGTTGTGTTGGCTCTGTCGGTTGTTTGTTGCCGCTGAGTTCGGGCGCTGATGGTTGTAACCACCACCCAAAGCATTTGAGGCTTTGTCAGACATATCTTGGTGAATCTGAAACCAAAGGCATAATTAGATCAGTAACAACAAATCAGCCCTGTGCTGACCATGAGGGGGCCAAGTAGGCAAGACAACATACACACAGAAATTGAGTGATTGTGATGAATGGTCACAGGACAGCGGAGGGTTCAGACCTGGATTGCAGGAGAAACAACATTGTGGTCAGTCAAAGAAATAATTAAGGGCAGGGGCACTGTCTGGGAACTCCCTCTACACCTGATCCCATAGGGATTTGGGGGCCAAAAGGGCCAATGCAGTGTGTGAGCACAAGCCTGCAAAGACCCAAAATGGTGTCTCCAACCAGCCTTGGGCTGTTGACGGCGTGGGTACACCCAAAAGGGTCCTAGAGGTCCATTGCAACACAGGCCCCTCGGGGGCAGAAACCCCCAAGGTGGATAGTTGGCCACATGCTGGGCACTGGCCAAGGGGCTGCCATATTTGGCCCCTTGTGAGACATTTTGGCCCATGGACACACCAAAAAAAAACAAAAGAATTGGCCCCTTTTGGGGGGGCGGAGACGAAACAACATTTTGTGGTGGCCAAGGGGCTGCATTTGGCCCCTTGTGGGTCGTTTTGGCCAAAGGAGGCCCAAAAAAATTCAAAAAAAATAAAAAAACATAAGGTTTGGGGCCTTGGGGGGGGGTTGAGACCCCAAAAAAATTCATCCTTACAATTTTTTACCCCAGGAACCAATTTTGGCGTTTCGGATCGGATCGGGTCGGATCGGATCGGGCCGGATCACTGGTGAATCGGGCGTGCGTGGGGTCTCCTGCTTCGAACGGGTTTCGGGGGTGCCTGTGGCGGCTGTCCGGGTGCTCTTCGGGTTCGGTGGCCGGTCGTTTGTTGGTCTTTGGGTCCCGTCGGTGAGATGGTGGTTGAGGGTAGGAAAGGAGGGGATGAGATCGAGCTCGGCTGTCCGAGCTCAGATAGAGCCCCGGACGCGGGGCTGGACCCGATCCCGCCCCCGGGGTATCATGTAATTGTGTAGGACCCAGGCCTGGGTCCTACACGTATGTATGTAAGCGTGTAGGACCCAGGCCTGGGTCCTACGCGGATGTTCACGGCCATCCTTCAAGGTTTTAACCTTGAACGATGACCGATCAAGGTTGAACCTTGATCGGTCATCGTACAGGTTAAACCTTGTACGATGGCCC